ATACACTTTTAAATGAAGTGGATTGCAATTAATCTTCTGTTCTTTTACATCCTGTAATTTCCCAGATAGGGTTTCAGTGAACTGTTATTAGATATATGGTTGTTTTGAGTCGACATTAATTTGATGACAGTAAGTTTGGTGTTTATTAGGTGAAAATCGATATGTTTATTAGGTGAAGATCGAATATATTTTTAAATTAGAAATACTTTAAAAATATTTAATCAACTTTTTCTGGATCAAACTTCACTATATATATTTTTTCTTAAGTCTATATAATGTCAGTTTGAGAGTAAGTCCAACATTTTCTAACTTCTATGAAATTAGCCCTACTTTTTACCTTTGAAATAATTGTTTCCAATGGTAATACTCCTTCTGTTGATCATTTTGTATAGCCCTGGATTTACTGAACTACTGCTAGTAAATTAATCCTTCGCTTCCAGCACGTGGGTCTTTGTACTGTTTAAAAATATATGGCTGCCTGCTTGTATTATGCAACTGAAAAATATAAAATGTAACCAACAGAATGGTAGGTGAGATCCAAATGTTATTTTATATAAAGGGGCTTCAGAAAGTTCATGGAGAAATGGAATTAAAAGGACACTGAAATATTTCCACAAACTTTCGATGCCTTGTCATATTCATATATGAACTGTGATTTCTGTATTTGTTAGCACTGTTTTTAAGTTTGCCACTCAACCAGCGAGTTGCAAATTTTGTTCAGATTAACCTACCAAATTACTGTTTGAAAGAAATTGAGCAGGCTAGATGTTGAAACGCTTAATGTAGTTTCAGATGGAAATATTAACAGGAGTAGGCACAAAGGTGCAGCGTTTGATTTTTTTTTTAATAGAATCTTTAGGTAGTTTTCCTTAGTGCATTCGAGCATATCATTTATTACAGTTATTTCGTGCCTATTCTCTTTTTAAATTGAGTAATTTAAGTTCTTCAGTGTTCATTAGTTTTAGTCTCTAACTTCTGGGGTTAGCCTGTTTTACTTAATGATTTGTATTAGGTAATTAAGTATTACATTTCATCCAAGAAGAGCCGTTGGTGCTGAAGATTAAAGGAGCTGATACTGCAATTTACAGTTGATTTTAGACAGATGGTATCTTGACAAAATTGAGTTTACTATAACTTAAACAATGGTGGAGCTTTGTTCATTTGCAGTTACTGCTATGGATAAAAGTTGAAATCATAGTTTTAGTACTTTGATTTTTACCTATTAAACATTACTCAAGCAGCAAATTTTTATATGTGCTCTGAGCTTCTGGCTAAGGTCGCATGGAGGACAGGCCAAAATTTATAATCTGCCGTAGCTTTTAAAAATGATCTTCCTATGCATGCAAGGCAATATTACACCTGGTAAGAAAGTCATAAACCCCCAGATGAACGAGTGGCCAGGAAAGATTAGTCTGAACCCACATTTCTGCCAGGTTAAAGCTCATATAGCTCACTGGTTGAATTTAAACCAGAGAAGCCTTTATAACCATCGCAGGCAGAAAAGTCTGCTAGGGTTACTCTGATATATTTGGTTGATAGTAAAGAGACCATGGTAAGTTTTCCCTTTTCCATTGGGTGGGTAGACCGGTACTACTTTGAAGTGATTAACATTTAAATTAAATCCTTGTATGCCTCACTGTAACACAAAGCAAAGCCAGATGCGTTTGACTCATAAACTACAGGATGTTTACATATAAACTGTATATAATTCAAATTTCATTTATAACTCATCATTTCCTTCTCCCTTTAACATATTCCTTACCCGCAAAAGCCCCTTCATAATTTGGTCACAGCTGGTATTTACATTTTACTTTAGTATTATAAGTCTCCTTTGATTTACTTTACCGAGTAGACCTAAGTTAATGCATTTTCCCATTTTATTCATTTCTCTTTTACTGAAACTGTGCTTTTACCGAAGAATTTGGTAGTTAAGTATGTTTGGCTCGCAGTAGCTTCAATATTCTTCTTCTTCTTCTTTTTAATCCAGAAAGAGTTTTGGACTCTCCTGAAAATGAGCTGAAATCCAGATGGGAAAAATTGTTGGGTCCTGACTATGAAGTGATGGTATGTCCCGATCCGCTCATAAAAAGCGCTCCAGTCTCGTTTTATGTCCAGCTCTTAACACACACTGTAAAGAAAGGAGAGACTCAAAGAGTAGCCTTTGTTGTTATCTGACTGCCTTTTCCCTCAGTGGATCAATCGATTGTATGTGCGCGCGCGCTGAAAGGACAATTACGGACAGTACACGTGCTTCAATGACGATCAGCAGACACAGTTCGCGTTGGAATGGCTTGAGTTGACAATAGGCAGGAAGACGTTAGAAGAGGAAAGGCCTGCCTTTAAATTTATAACCTGTATTCAGCTGCTTACAATGGTTGGCGTTTTTTTATGAAGGCTTTTATGATGTTTGTTTTATTGCACACTGAAAAGGCTGTGGATATTAGTCCGATGTTTCATAGAGAATCTTACAGTTTTATGAGAAAAAGGAAAGAATGATTATCAAGTGTATTTAGGGGAACAGGAAGTAATTTAGGCTAGGTATATGTTTATATGCCAGTGGTCCATTAGACTTCCTTTCACCTGTTAATAGATTCATTGAGTAAGGGGTTGATTACATTTCCCCATGAGTATCCACACGAAAGCAGAAAACTGTTCAGGAAAGCTTCTACCGTGTTCACCAAATGCTTAGTAATAAAATATTCTATTACATTTCTTCTGTCAGTCACATTTTCTTACATATGTTTATTATTAGTACTTGTTGGCTGATTGGAGCTTTCTCTCTCTCTCTCTCTCTCTCTCTCTCTCTCTCTGTCTCTCTCTCGCTTCCTGTTTCACCATCTCCAGCCACTACTCTGACACACAGTGTCAGAAAATTTCCAGGGACATTAAAAGCAAGGCTGAAAGCAAACCCTTTGCTTTTTGAGTTGGTTCCCACTCAGAGAAACCCTGCTGGGCAGAGCAGAGGGTTCTGGGGGTTGCCAGGCTGTGACTGTTTCTGGAAGCAGCTTACCTCCACTCTTTTCTGGGGAGGGTGTGCAGCACTGACCTTGCAGTTGGCAGCGGACGCTTTAATCATCGTGCCACTGGGCACCCTCCCAGTGACATTAAAATGTGTGAACCTCGTCTGTGTTTTCTCTCTTCACTAATTTTGTGCTTGCATGTCAGGTCTCTATCCTGCTTCTGTTTAACTTCATGAATTTAAAATACTGCTGTGACACCTAGCTAGCAACCTTTCCTCCTACCCTTGGTAGTTAAATATTCTCAGTCATGCTGTGTACTAGTCTTTACAGATGACCCCTTTTATGATGGGCTTTCTCTTCTTTTTTTCCTGTTAAAATCTTATAACCATGCTCCCAAAGTTCATCTATCACACAGTGAGGTCATGACAGAGGAGCTAAATGGGGAAGCTGAATTGGAAGTTAAAAGCTTAAAGGGGCAGCTAATGCCCTGAGGATTTTAGCTTGCTGCTCTGAGAGGAAGGAGTCCTGGTGGTAGAGGGCGTGCACTGTTAGGTCAGTGGTGCAGACCCACCAGCTGCCCTGTAGGGGAAAGAGGAGCCTGTCTTCCTGTGTAAAGGTTTACAGTCTCAGAAACCGGAAGGAGCTGGAACGGGTTCCTGTAAAGACCTACCATGTCAGCAACTGTAAGCAGCAGTGCTACTCTGTCTTATGAGTTGGCATTGACTGGATGGCAATGAGTTTGGTTTATATTTTTGTGTCTTAGTTGGAAGGGATAGAAGTCAAGCTCAATAAGTGAACAAGCACACATAATCATTCATCCGTGCACACACATACATACATGCATGCAAACCTTCCAGTGTTTCATACTCCAGTCTCTCCAAGGATTTACTTACCTAAAGTACACTACTTTCAGAAGCTTTAATTGGATCGTTGTTTAACTTACCCTCTCCAGATGCACCATATTTTATTAACAACTTACAGCTGCAAATCATCAGTAAAGTACTGTTGCTTGCAAGGAATTCAATTCTTTGGACGTTCACCCTTGAAGCTCAGAACAATCGTTTTAGGCCAAGATTAAAAGCTTTAAGTATTCCATGAGCCTCCCACCAGAAACCAGGTCTTTTGTTTGTGTCCCTGCCAGCCATGTGCTCCTGAGGAAGCGGGATGAGCTGGCTGGGCAGTCAGGCTTCAGTTCTTCCGAACTCCCGTGACTGTGCTGACCTTCTCAACGTTGTTTTTAGAACTGACTTGGAAAGTAAAGTGGACACACCCCTGGTTTCGTTAAAAAAAAGTGAAAGTTTTATGGATTTGATGTTATGAAGGATTATATTAAACTTTCAGGCATCATAGAATTTAAAATAATAAATATATATATTTGTCCATTATCTTCTTTTTAGCTTTTGGTTTTTTTTAAAAGTTTGCCTTTCCCAGGGTGGTGGTGGGTGGTAATCACCACCAAGATCTATAGCAAAGCGAGTACAAGGTCGGTTACACGAAGTTACCATTAATCAGGTTTTGCAGGTACTTTCTGAAAATGTTAGAGCAAAGAAAGTTATGCTTTTACAAAGATTGGGAATCTTATTTTCTTGCACATTTAGGTCACCACTCTGGACACTCAGATTGCAGATGATGCTGAGTTACAGAAGTATTCAAAGGTAAGCGCTGATTTTTCAATGTTGTTTTTGAGAACTAACTCTACATTCTTGTTGAATGAGTTACATTCATTCTCTGATCCAGCATTTCAGAGTTTAATCTTTGATGTTTTCTGAACATGTGTTGAGCTCCCACGTGGGATCCTGTGTGCCAGTTCCAGACACCAAACACTCGGATTTGACTGCTTCACCCACAGTTTGTCGTAGAGGGATTTAATGCAGAGTGTGCTAGTGCGTTTGTATTTAAAAATCCAGAAAACAATGCGCTCCAAAAATCAAGACTACATACAGATGAAAAATCCTTCAGGTTCAAGAACATTATCCAGCCATAAGTATAGACACTTGTCCTTGAATGTCAACATTGTTTGATAAGCTGTACTTCTAAAGCTGGGTGGCATAAATAGTTTGAGCTTTTACATACTAATGAAAGGTTGGTGTTTCAAACTCAACCAGAGACTGACCAGGCATCTGCTTTGCTAAAGATTCTTGTTGTTAGTTTCCATGGAGTTGATGTCACCTCACTGCAATCCCATGTGGCAGAGTAGGGCTGTCCCCTAGCGTGAGCTGGGCTGTACTCTCGACGAGGCTGTATTCTTTTTTTTTTTCTTTTTTAACATTTTATTAGGGGCTCATACAACTGTTATCCCAATCCATACACACATCAATTGTGTAAAGCGCATTTGTACATCGTTTCTCAAAACATTTTCTCTCCATTTAAACCCCCGACATTAGGTCCTCATTTTTCCCCTCCCTCCCCGCTTCCCCCCTCCCGCATGAGCCCTTGATAGTTTATAAATGGGTATTTTGTCATATCTTGCCCTGTCCGACGTCTCCCTTCATCCACTTTTCGGTTGTCTGTCCCCCAGGGAGGAGGTCACACACAGTTCCATGTAATCGGTTCCCTCTTTCCTACCCATTCTCCCATTACCCTCCCTGTTTTGAGGCTGTATTCTTTACGGCACCATCACCTGCTCTCTCTTCCTCAGAGTCACGGGGTAGCTTCCCACCCCAAACCTTGTGATTAGCAGTTGACTGCTCAACTGTTGTGTTCCCAGGGGTTCTTCTACATATCGCTCAAGCCAAGAACACGCGATGGAACAGTTCATTCTGTGGTAGAGGGGTCAGAATGAAATGAAATTGGCTTGAGTCCAATATTTTTTCTTGGCTAAAAGCTTTAGGGAGGCAGTCTGCCAGGTGGGTCAGCTGGGGTCAAACCTTCATCCTTTAGATTAGCAACTGACTGCAAACCACTCGTACTACCTAGACTGCTCTTCAGAATCAAATTAAGCCAAACCCATTGGCTTGGAGTTGATTCTAGCTTACGGTGACTCCAGTGTTCCAGTAGACTGAGTGCCATAGGGTTTGTTTGACTGTCTTCTTTACAGAAGCCAATCTCCAGGGTTTTCCAATCAATGGGTTGGTTAATAGCAAGGCACAAACCATTTGTGCTATCTGATGGGACTTTAGCCAATCAGAATCTACTTCACAGATAAACTTACTCAAAGCTGCATACATTGAATGAGTTGTCCAAAATTAGTAGCAGAGGCAGAGTGAAGTTTGGAGAACTCATTTAATCACTCGTAGAATATTTATTGAGCTTTTGTTATATGCCAGACAATAAGTTATACCATCTGTGGTAAAGCTGAAACCATACGGTTTTTGTTCTCAGAGCGCTTAGATTTTGAGGTGTAGTGGGTGCGTGATCATAAGCAGGACCTGTTGATAAGTGAGTTATAGATCCTAAGTGCTGCAGAGGAGTAAACGCTGGGTGGAGGTGGATGGGAGAGTAATTAGGGGAACGTGTTTTAGATAACAACTCACTGGCATCAAGTCAAAGCTGACTCATAGCAGACCCCTGTGGGTTTCCAAGATGGAGACTTTTTACAGGGGTAGAAAGCCTACTCTTTCTCCTGAAGAGCTTCTGGTGGTTTTAAACTGCTGACCATGCTGATTGCAGCACAATGAGTAACCACTGTGCCACTCGGGAGCCTGCGGTTCTAGATAAAGCCTCTCTGAAAATAACGTTGGATGTAGGCTAGAAGGATACAACCCGAGGAAGTGGTGCTCAGAACCCTGGGTGAGACAGGGCTGGCACATGGTAAGGATGGAACAGAAGGCACTTTCAAGCTCAGTGAAGAGTGGAATGCCATCATATGAGGCTGGGGAAGGAGATGGGTACTGATGGGTCTCAGGATCCTTGGCAGTGTGCGTGGATTATATTGACCGGGTGGTTTTAAGCAGGACAGTGCCTTGAAAGGAGGTTAAGAAGAGCCTTTTCACTGATGAAACACACAACTTTCCTCTAGCTCTTTGGTGCTTCCTTCCCCCCACTATCATGACCTCAATTCTACCTTACAAATCGGATTAGAGTAGAACATGCTCACTGCTACAGATAAGAGCCTGCAACACAGGGAATCCAGGATAGATAAACCCCTCAGGGCCAACAATGAGAATAGAGATACCAGGAGGATTAGGGGAGGGTGGGGGGAGGGAGGGGGAATCAGTCACAAGGATCAACCTATAACACCCTCTCAGGGGAACGAACAGCAGAAAAGTGGGTGAGGGTCGATGGAGGATGCTGTAAGATATGAAAATAATAATATATAACTTATCAAGGGTTTGTGAGGGAGGGCAGGCAGGGGAGGGAGGGGAAGAAATGGGGAGCTGATATCAGGGCCTCAAGTGGGAAGAGAATGCTTTGAAAATGATGATGGCAGCATATGTGCAAATGTGCTTGACACACTGGAGGAATGTATAGATTGTGATAAGAGATGTAAGAGCCCCAAATAAAAGTATTTAATAATAATAATAAAAGATGAGGCTTTCTCTTCTCTCTCCAGCACATTGGAAGGAGGAAAATCATTATTTTTTGTGTCTGTAGCTAATGTTCTTGAAGATCTACTGTCTTTATTTTTAAAAGCTTTTTATTGTGAATTGGGTGAAGGTCAGTAGAGCAGATCAGTTTTCCCTTCAACAATTCACATGCCTCTTGTGTCACACCAATCCACCATCATCACTCCCTTCCTGTGTTTGTTTCCATTCCTCCTCTTTTGCTAACCCTGCTGAACATTGTCCTTGGGTTAATGCTGCCTTAAAAAAAAAAAAAGAAAACTCAAATAGTTCATTATTCTAAGGTGGGGTACCTCACTAGAGTGATTGCTGCCTTTACAGCCCTATCTGTTTTGGGTAGAAAATATAGCCATGTGGGTGAGTTCGTTTCCAGACCTGAAGGATGACTGAGGGCCATATAGTCTCAGGAGTTCCACCAAGTGTCTAGTTGTGGTGGGCTCTGGTTTATTACCCAATTGGATGGGATAAAGCATCTTCCTATGTTACGGGCCACTGTTAATAGATAGGGCTTTCTAATAGATAGAGTTGTGAGGGAAAGAGGAAAGCAGTAGCTATTTACTGTGGTTTGCACATTAGCGGCACTGCTTCTAGGAAATTGTTAATCATGACACAAGAACCTCTTACTGCATCTCAGGAGACTTGCTCTTTTAGGGATGGCTTTCTTGGCAAGTGTTTATGATTAAGAGAATCACAGTGCTATGGGAGAAGCATGGAACTCATGCTAGTGACCTCTCTGCTGGCCACCAATTGTAATATGGAATAAGCTTCTGTAATATCCCTGGGATGGGAAACAAAAACACCGGCCATGTTCTCTGGCTTTGATAAGACAGACTGACAAACTTTATCTAGTTTCCCCCTAGAATTAGATTTCCTGAACAAGCAGACATTAAAATGTGGTTTCTCCCCCTACTCAGTCATGAACAAACGTGCTTTTTACGACTGGCCTTCCACAGGTTGTAGTGGATGTTAGCCCACTGTTCACAGAACTGGGTCTTTGTTTTACATTCAGTTTCGTCTTTATTTCTCACAGTAACCCTGTTGGTGAACAGGTTTTTCTCTTTCCCATTTTTAAAATGTGGAAAATGGAGCTCCAGGCAGGCAAAGCAACGTAACTCCAGGTCATGTGCAGCCAGGACGTGGTTGAGTGCAGGAGCAGATCAAGGGCTATCTGACTACTAATCTGTGCCATTCTTTTTTCTTTCCCTTTTCGTTATGAAGAGCGTGGTAAATATGCAAAGGGCACAGCAGTAGGTGCTGTAAGAATTAAATCATCTGACCGCCCCATCACCTCAGAGGCAAACATCGTTCGCATTCTCAAGCCTGGAATTTTAGACTTTGCTGCTCTCTTGAGTGAAGGACATAAAGCATTGAAGCTCTGGGGGAGCTTGCTTGAGGAGGTGACTTATCAAAACCATAAAAGGCGCATTTTCAAAAACACACCTGCCCTCTTTTGTGCCTCAGAGATTCAGAAGATGATGTGGGTTTGGAGTGAGGTCCCCACAGCAAATAAATATTGATCCCTCCATTACGTACTCCATTGAGTATTACTGTTTAGGATAGACCTAACATGCCTTGTGTGTGTTCACGGAACAAGATGTTATGTTCTTAAAACAGATGAAAGAAGTCTATTGGAATTATACATTTGAACTCTACCACCCAGGATAGGTTTGGGGAATGAGCACATGGCTGTATTAGGGGACGGAAGTACCACAAGCAAAGACAAATAGAGAATCATAGGTGCAAAGGGTTAGATCAGGTGTCAAAAACTTAACATCACATGAAGCACATAGATAATATAAATGTTTTAAAGTGATGAATGGTAACTAATACTCGACCTGGGTGTTAGGTAATTGACAAGAACCTTCAGTGTACATCATCCATAGGTATATATATGTATATACACCCGTATCATGTCTTCTTGAACACATGGAATTAAAATTTCACAAGGGTGAGGGAAATGAATATAAACCAAGCTCTAGGGGACCGGTCTATATCCGAGCGAGCACACCTAATTTTGGAATCCAATATGCCTCTGTGTCAACATTAAGAGTTGTAGACTTAGCCTTGGGAAGTTTGTTTTTCATTTATGGTAAATTTAGTAAATTATTTCCCTAATCAATATGCATAAATGGCTACATCCCACAGTGTGTGTG